TGGTCATTTAGGATAGCTGTTGACCATTAGATAAGTTAAGGAATGTAGACTGGCAAAAGCAGCCATGTCCAAAACTGATAGATATAGTGGTCCGACAAAGGATAATTATGAACTGATGTTAAGGTGGCTACAAAAACATATTACTGAACATTGGCAGGACACCTTCACCTGTCCACAACAGAGTTGCACGCCGCAGTCACCACATTGGTGACCAACATAAAATTTCACCCACCCACCCCAAGAACCTATTCATCCGAGTGCGCTCCACATACACCTCCTACTTTTTGTTACAAAAACATATTCATGGTCCTTGCCTACCTGTACTCTGGCCTCGGTAAGCTTGGTCCTCTGTGCCAGTTCCTCGCGGGTGTATATATCTGGGTAGTGTGTCCTCTCAAAGGCCTTCTCCAGCTCCTCTAGCTGTTCTGCTGTAAAGGTTGTACGACTACGTCGCTGCTTTCTTTTCAGTGGAAGATCTGGTTCCGATTCCACGTCTGATCCTTCATCCAGACGATTCCCTAAAATAACATGAAGAGGTTTTAGTCCATCATTTACCAAAACATTAAAACTGGAGCATCACCTAACAAAACAATCGCAACTTAAGAAGTCCCCATGACCACTTCTTCAAGAAACCACAGTTTAGCTTTTTGCCTGAAGTTACGAGTCTTCTTTCCCGGAGTCTATTAAACCTCATTTATGAACAACATTACACCGGCATCATAAATCTAGTGCAAAGTGCATCAAATATATTCCGTGGAAGTTCAAACACTCGCAGTAGCTGTGATAAATTCCCCCATGTGTCTTTAGAGCTAGCCCTAACCTAAGGGCTGAATCTCAAGGTAGCTTAAAGGGGTGCTTACCAGGGGGTTTTGATGCCTACCGAGTGGCCCCAAAACACCTAGTCTGGAAGATTCTGTGAAGCCAAATATCTCATTATACATGCCTGTGTTTAGTGGACATGATGTGACGTCACACTAGCCCAAATGCTACATGTAACATAGAAGTGCATTTGTTTTTCAGTGGCTCCCCTCCTTCTCTTTTAAGAGATCAGTCCCAGTGGGGCTGAACACTGCACAAGGCCATTTGTAACAAAGCAAAAACCCTAACACTGTATCTAAAGTGTGTGAATAACATAACCTCAATTTAACCAAAACATCAACAGTTAGGGGTCTGTTTACAAAGCATTCGCCGAGCGAACATCCCAGCGAGCGAGAATCGCGGCATATTATGGCCACTAGGTGGACCCAATGAGCACAGGAATACATTGCACTCGCAGAGGCGTTTGTTCTGCAAACATTTTACAATTAGACCCGTTTCTCTTTTTTTCTCATCATCTTCTGCCTCTAATACTCATTCACATGTGGAAGAATTTAAGCTATTAGTTACACCTCCTCTTCACCATGCCATAACCTTTTAATGGTAGAGGTGGGCACAGACACAACATGCCCATCGACTGCCATCCCTATGTAAAGCTATTTTGTCTCCGTGCATCCGATTATGTGCATGCTGTTCGCTCCCCTAGCTTTACAAACTGGGATTTTATCATTCTAGATTTCACCAGCTCACTGATTTTAGAAAACAACGACGTTTATATTTTTTTTACTAACATTCCCCTTTAAAAGAAAGAAAAGTATTCGATTTTTAATGCGTCGCTCAGCTGACCACCTCCCGCTCGGTGCTATGTGCTGCCGAACAGATCTGTGGATGAAATTAGCTCCTTAGTGAACGTACAGGGGAGCTCTTTTCATCCTGATTACTCCATAATGATGCAATTAACAGCCTCCAGCTCAGAACTATTAACACTTCCAGCTTTGAGCCACATACACGTATCCAGATAATCTCTGGAAATGTGCCCACCTTGTTCTATATATTTGCTGCTCAGTAATTTTAGTTAATCCTCTTAGCAGGAGTAGAGAGATGACCTTATCCCTCTGGGGTCAGCCGACTTTTAATCGAAATGTATGTCTGCGGGAACTCGCTGGTCTTCCCGTCTGAATATAACACAAAGGATGTGAGGCGTAATGGGAGCTCAAAGTGGGGGGGGGGGATTTTAATTTGGTCTTTTTTAGACATTTTTACTATTCTGCCGGTTTGAATGAAAGGACAACGCTGGAGTTATTGAAGGATATTTGCCATCTCGATACTTCTCTGGAAGATCCCGACAGCGGCTGCCATTCTCCAGCCACATGCTATTTTTGCTTCATTGTATCTGAAATGACTGAACCAGAGCTGCCATGTATTCAGCATGTTAAAAAAAAAAGGATGGTCAGTGTTCTTCCTCAGCATACCAGTTAGGGGCGAGCACAGACCCATCATGCATCCCATTAACCAATAAGGGGGACAGAAACAAAAAATTATTCTGAGCAGCTTTCACTTATTAGCAGCTTTCATAGTTTCCATAGTATTTGAGGTTGAATAAAGACACAGGTCCATCAAGTTCAACCCATTGCCTGTATGCATGTGATTCTGCGTGTGTATGAGTCCATGTGTGATCTTGTTCTTAAGAGTACCTGTACCCCTGTATGTTGCGGTCTCCGAGGAAATCGTCCAAATGCATTTTTAATGATTCAACACTCTCAGCTGATACCACCGCTTGTGGCAGTGAGTTCCAGACTTTAACCGCTCTAACTGAAAAGAACCCCCTACGCCCCTTGTGCTGAAATCTTTTCTCCACCAATTTTAGGTCTTTCTTTTGGAGTTTACTGTAAAAAAGTTTATTGCTGATGTTGCTATCACCATTGAACATCTTGTACACCAAAATCATATCCCCCCTTATTTTCCTCACTTCCAGCGTGAACATGTTTAAATTTAGTAACTTTGTCTCATAGCTTTGGTCCTCCATCCCCTTAATTAGTTTGGTGGCCCTTCTTTGGACTCTTTCCAGCTCAAGGACATCCTTTCTGTGGACTGGTGACCAAAACTGGACCGTGTACTCCAGATGAGGCCGAACCAGCGATCTATAAAGTGGCAGAATCATCGACTTGTCTCTACAGTACATTCCCTTTCACATCTTCGACGAATGAAACAGAACCGTCAATGTATCATATTGATAGATCTACGCGTCTCTGCTTTTACAAAGTATACACGTTTGGTATGGGATGGAGTCAAGCTGTTCAGCAGAAACCAATAACCTTTAAAAATAATATACAGGTGAAACTCGAATAATTAGAATATCGTGCAAAAGTAATCGCAGTAAGTGCTGCAAAAGGGGCCCAAACCAAGTACTGAGTACATATGCATGCTTGTACTTTTCAGAGGTCCGATATTGTTCTATGTACAATCCTCGTTTTATTGATTGCATGTAATAATCTACTTTTTTGAGGTTGTGGATTTGGGGTTCTTGGGGTTTTCATGAGCTGTAAGCCATAATCATCACAATTATGACAAATCACGGCTTGAACTATCTCGCTTTGCATGTAATGAGTCTCTCTCATATATTAGTTTCACCGCATAAGTTGCATTAGTGAAATAAATGAACTTTGCACCATATTCTAATTATTCCAGTTTCACCTGTATATCCATTAGGGAAGGCTAAATGATGATCTAAGCCGAGGGAGGTCGGGGGCAACGTTGGGCCATCCAGCTGTTGAGAACTGGGACTTGTAGTTCCCGGACAGCTGGAGGAACACAGGAAGCCCGTAAGCGATGTGAGACCTTTCGGTGGATATCATTAATATAATAGAAGGAGCTGGCAGACAGACTACAGCCACACTTAATCTCCCCGCGGCCTCTGCTCCACTTTGTAAGAAAAGAAACACAACTATCTGGAGTTCATTTTTTTTCTTCCTCTCTTCTCTCTTTTTTTTATAACTAAAGCTAAACCAGCCAACTGTGACACCAGAAACCTTTAAGTTGTGGATGTCAAAGCATGAACTATTCTGCCCGCTCCAGGTTCTGTTCTCCCATAGTGTGATGGCCTCATTCATGAGTGAAATCTGGCTTTATATTCATTGCGATGGGGATTTTCATCTGATACCTTTTAACACTGGCATGTAGGAGCTGAAAAGCCCCTATAAACTGAATTCTGATCAGCTCATTATGTGTACGAATATCAGGATGAATACATAATGACGTGGGGCAGCTTAGGTGGCTGATGTCCAATTAGAGTGCCAGCTCTTAGGGTTGGATTATTCTCCGAAGATGGTGATTAAGAGGCTTTGGTACAATGCTCAGGTCTGAGACTCTAAAGCCTTAGAATATAAAGGCCATTAACTCTACTTTAACCCCTTCGTGACTGACGACGTACAGTGTACGTCGCCAGCATCGGGGCTGTTTAAACAGACTCCCGGCGACTTTTGCCGCCGGGAGTCTGTTTAAACTTGTAGAGCTGTCGGCTTTACAACAGAAGCGATCCTGGCGACTTACCTGTCGCCAGATCGCTTCTGCGTTCCGAAGACTATCGGGTATTCTTACTGGGTGCATACATTGAGCCTCTGTATTGTTTACTTGAAAGTAATGCTTAGTTTGACACACACACACGAATATATATATATATACACAGTATACTGTATATGTATCCAGGGATGGAAAACAAAGAATCTTCCATGACCTTATAAAATAGACACAATATTCAATTACAATAGACATTACTGCAGGAAGATCCCAATGGGGGTTCCAGCCCTAGTAAGCTGAAGTGGGTATTTGCTAATGATCGAGGTGTCTTAAGCTGGCCACACACCTATAGATTATCTGCAGACTTTCTATGGTCAGGTGGAAAAAGTGCAGCAGATTTCTCCATCTATGCTAAACTATGTCTATGGCGGAATCTCCCGGTGGGCCAAGCTTCAGTATCTTGCTAGTCGGCACCGCTGGGTCTCAAAATACCTGAACAATGCCTGCGTCCAATCAGATTGTTCAGATATTTTGACAGCCAGCGGGACCGACTAGCAAGATACTGAAGCTCGGCCCAGCGGGAGGTTCCTCCATACACACAGTTTAGCGTAGATGGAGGAATCTGCTGCACTTTTTCCACCTGACCATAGAAAGTCTGCTCATCATCTACAGGTGTGTGGCCAGCTTTACTCTGTGTGAGTTAACAGTGATGGGAATGGTCTAACGGTGACAGGAAAAACGTGAGGCATCCAATGGAAAGCCCCAGGACGTTCCTATTTTTACATGCTTGCTGCTTATATTGTTATAATTGCAAGGAGTTTGTATGTTCTCCCTGTGCTTGTGTGGGTTTCCTCCAGGTGCTCCGGTTATCTCCCACACCCCTAAGACATGCTGGTGGGTTAATTGGCTCCTCTCAAAACTTGTCCCTGTATGTATGCAAGTAAAATAGGGACCTTAGATTGTAAGCTCCTTGAGGGCGGGGGACTGATGTGAATGGACACTATGTAAAGTGCGGCGTAAATTGTGGGCGCTATATAAATACCTGTAATAAATAAATAAATTGCATCAGAGCTTCCCTTTAAAGAAGAACTCCAGGAAAACATTTTCATAGCCCTTGCAGTAGGGTTAGGGTTGCAAGGGTTAAGTGCTTGTTTAGGTTAAAAAAAAAAAAGTTATACCCAGTCAA